TCCTCTTGGATCCACTGTCACTCTCACTGCTGCTCTTGGAGTCACTCTCGCTCTCACTGCTGCTCTTGGAGTCACTGTCGCTCTCACTGCTGCTCTTGGAGTCACTCTCGCTCTCACTGCTGCTCTTGGAGTCACTGTCACTCTCACTGCTGCTCTTGGATACACTCTCGCTCTCACTGCTGCTCTTGGAGTCACTCTCGCTCTCACTGCTGCTCTTGGAGTCATTGTCACTCTCACTGCTGCTCTCGGACTGGCTTTGGCTGCTGTCTGGTTGACTGTCACTTTCACTGCTGACAGATGGGCCACCATTCTCACTGTCATCGCTGCCTGGCTGACTGCTACTTTCATTACTTTCCTGCTGGCTGTCACTGTCTTCACTTTTGCTCTCTGACTGCTCACTGCTGGCATTACTACTTTGCTCCTCTTCCTCTCCTAAAGATGTGCTTTCCGGTTCTTCCCCACTACTTGCCTGGCTGGGGAGATCTTGCTGGCTGCTGTTTTCTGAGCCTTCAGAATCTTGGCTTTCGCTGGGTTCATCCCCTTGCATTGATTCATCACTGAAGCTATACACACTGTTGCTCTCATTTTCACTGGTGTCCTCATGACCACTGCTGCCTTCCCCATCACCTCTGTGCATAGTCTGGATGGTATCTTGAGAGGAGGTTCCATTGTTGAGCATATCCCTACCATTATCATTTGTATTACCACCACTTGTGGCGCTATTATTTACAGCTGCAGTGTTATTTTCTGTGTCCTGATGACAAAAAGTAAAGGAAAGCATAAATTTAAGCACATCAAGAAACAGCCATGTCCTCATCCAAACCCTTAACGCCAACATTGGTCAAAGCTTCCAATGCAGTCATCAACACTGAAGCTGGTAGATGTAGAGCTTTAGTCTATTATGTCCAAATATATTCCTAGTAGGCTGAATTAGTAGAGCCACATCTTACAAAGCAGGATGTGTTGAAATACTGTAAGATGGTAATATAAGTATGATGGTAATTTTAAAGAAAGAAGCAGTGAGGGTTGGGGAGTATCTTCTCTTCCCTGAGGCTTCTTCACTGTCTTGCAAACTGGCAGGAGGAGATGTCAGAGGGGTAAAGTTTGCAAGCAGTGAAAGAATTCAATAGATCCCTCAAAATACAGCTTCGCCGCTTGCAATAATTTCTTCCTCTCCCTGTTACTGTATAATACTTTGGCATGATGCCCTTTAGAGATATACTGGCCTACCATTGTAATTTGTTACCAGACTTTCAGTTTAAATCTGAGGCAGGCCCTCAAAACAAACATTTGTTACTAAAGCCAGAACAGATCAAAGTCCCAGAATTTGCAGGCATCATTTCTTCCTGTGAAAGAAGCAGAACTTCTTTCTACAGTTCCAGATAATGTGCTGAATGTATCTGAGTTGAAATTCAAATTAATTAGCAAGGCAGAGGCTTGCTAATTATTTCCTCCAGGAGCTCAAGCTGGTATACACAGTGCTCCCTAGTAGGCTAAGATAAATTGTTATCTCCAAACAACTCTGTGAGATAAGCTGGACTGAGTGCCTTAGTCCAGAACCATCTAATTCTGTGGCTGAGGATGGACTTCATTTTGGGTCTCTTGATCACAAATGGGCATCCAACAACCATTGGGATTGTGGAGGCAGTGGTGGAACTGTCTTAACACTACTTTGATCAATCTTCTTACCCTGTTCCTAGAATCCCCAGCCTACCATGGCCTGAAGATTGTGAGAATCGAGGACTTCCAATTTGAATACTGTATGTCTAAAAAGCATCAGATGGGGGAAGACTGACTTAGAGGTTAAATGTCCCAAAAATCATTAGAATTGTAAGTTAATTTATTCTGCAAAATACATAGAAGGAAACTTTCCTTTTCTTTATCTCTTCCTCCATCCCCAGTAGCTGTTTGCATGCCTGAAAAGCAGTCTGAAGAAATCAGTGCAAAGAACAGCAAGAATTTATGTCCCATGATACTAACACCACTATCAACTGAAAATCATAAACTGATGATTTGATCTTTTCTAGCCACAAACAGTAGGTACATAACAGAATAAATAAATAATCAGCTCACCTTAGCATTGCCATTTGAGCCCAGAACATCATTTCTTTTCTTTTCAAAGCATGTCACATGCTTTTTTTCAGGGCTCACATCACCACGACCTTGAAAACCCTCTTCATTACCAGTGTTGAGTGAATCATCCACATTGCCTGCATCACCCTCTCCTTCCTTGTTTGGAGTGTTTATTTTTGTACCATTAACACAAGCCTGAGTATTGTTCCCATTACTATGGCTTTCCCTCTCATTTTCTCCAAGGTTTGTTGTACCTTCTGAGGTTCCATTTCCCCAGTCATCACTGGAACCTTCTTCATTGGGATCTCCATCATTACCACTCCCACCTTCATCAGTGTTTGCCCAGGGTATACTTTCCCCATGCTTTCTTCCTATCAATATATTTATTGTGCCATCTCCAGGCCCATTAATTGCATATCTATGTCCATCCATGTCAGGTAAGCTTTGAATGTGATTGCCCTGGATTCCTCTACTGCCTCTGAACTCTTCTCCAGTCTGATTGCTGATATTGGTTTGATCTTTAATGCCATGCTTCTTATAATTTGGATCACTCTCAGAAAGTTCTGTTTGTGTTCTATAATTAATATTCTCTTCCCCAATTCCATAACTGGAATCATTGAAATATTCACCTTCTAAAGTATCCCTATGTCTTTCTCTTTCAGTAGCATTTTCCTCTGCAGGCATATCTTCTCTGTTTCCATTTGTTCTTGGATTACCTTCAGGTCTTTCATTTTCATTTTCACTGACATTAACAAAATTAGCAGTTCCATCAACTCTCTCTGCATTTGTAGTAGATTCTTCTCTTTCACATTCTTCATGGCCAGGGGCAATACTCCTTCCATTAACACAATTAATATTTCCACCAGGATATCTTTGGTTGTTGAATAAAACCTTGACATTCTCTGCAGCATTGCCATTATGACCTGCATTTGATGTATCCTATAAAGTGGTAAAATATTAAGAACAGGAGTAAAGAAGCAGGAATGAAAGGAGTGAGATTTTAAGGGTGAACTTATCGGTTGATTCATGTTCCATTGTTATAAGTGGTGGTTGTCATAAGAGCATAAAAACCTAAGAAGAGTCTTGAAGGATCAAACCAAAGGCTGAGTTAGATGAGGTTTCTGCTCTCAGAGTAGGAACATAGCAACACATGAGCCCCCCAGCACCTTCACAAAATTTGTAGTTGATATAAAGAAGATTCAAAGCTGGGCCATAAGCTAAGTAGCTGAAAAATCTCAAACACGATATCTGCTTCTTGGTGGTAAATGGAAATATCTGATTAATCTGGATGGCTGCTGTAGGAAAAATAAGTTTTGTTTATTTTTACAAATTAGTACCTCACTTTTTAATAAAATCTGCTCACAAGAGGAGATGTGTATCTGTATGTCAAGATCGATAACTCAAAAACAGCACAGCTGACATGATTGATTTAAAAAGAAGAATTTAAAAACAAAAGATAAGCGGACTTCCTAAATAAAAATGTTTGCAAGGAATGCAAGGAAGGGAGCTCATCAGTTTCCCATGGAAAGGGAGATTCTGTAATTGAAATCTGTGGCAAAAAGAGCACAATTTCTAATACATGCTGAACAAGTTTATTTAAGGTCAGAAGAAGCAGCCTGGCCCGGATTTTATTCCCTCAAGGCCCAGTCAAATGATAAAGAGAAAGCCACAAACAGGACACAAGTTTGAGATAAAGAATATTGGGGAGCAGAGACTGAGATGACAAATTTAAGCAATTTATGTTTTTAACAAAAACAGATCCAAAACAATTGCAATTAAGAACCTAGTTTATTAATCAGCCTGATCACCCCTCTCTCTCCATCTGCCGCATTCATTATAATCATTACATTGTTTTTAAAGAAATATATCTTTAATAATATCTTTCCTAACATGTTTTAAAAATTGTAAAGTTCACTCCCTGTTGATCAAAATAGGAAGATGTCCTAGCAAACGGATGTGTCTCTCTTGCTTGGTCTGAAGGGTGGCAATGGCAGATGGGTAGGGTGCTGTTGTTAGGTTTAAGGCCAAATGCTGGCACCTGTGTGAGAAGCTAAAACAGGAGCTTAATTTGGCACAGACAGGAAAACCACTGTTCCTTAAATATTAGTTTGTCAGGAAGTACTAAGTTAAACCTGGACAGAATGTCAGAATTCAAAGGCACACGGGATCGAAACGACACAGTTGGTGTAAAGATAGCATCACCTGACCCTTCTATTTCTATCACCAAGAAAAATGCCAGAAGAGTAGCTGCATTATTCTTTGACCTTTCCTGTCCCCCCACCCCCAATGCTTCTTTCAAACTAGAGATGTATCCCAGCTAGGAAGCCTTTGTCTCTGAAAGTTCATGACACAATCATCAATTTGTACTGCGAATGGAGAAAATAGCATTATGGTATATTGGTACTATGCCCATCAAGATTGTATAACCAGAAGCCATTGGTGGCCCCTGAAAACCTTCATGTGGCCAAGTCCACATTTGCCACCAAACTATGTGACTTCTAGTGACCATTGTTAAATATACAGGGAGAGAGAATGTCGTATCTTAAGCATATAATTAACATAAAGCCATTTTAAATTAAAATTGAAATAACTATAAATCAAATACTTTCTGGACTTGCCCCACTTACTTCTTTGCATTTCACCTTTGGCATACCACTCAAAGGCCAAGGGCTTTTAAACAAATGGCTTGAGCTTATCCTGGTAGCAATCTCTTGTTTTTTGACATAGGTAACATGGTAAATATTAGAAGCAGGTTTTACTGTCCCTGTTCTGTCTTGGATATGACAATAATTCCTTCTTTGCCTTCAAGAAATGTTTGGTATTCGTTCCTATCACTGCCAGTCATCTCAGGAAAAACACCTTCTGTGGAAGAGCTGGCTGCATAGAAAAATGGCAGGCCCCCGTGCTGCCTTCTTCCCCTCCCATCTGAGCCCCCCCCTACATCCGCATGGCAGAATGGCATGGCAGGTGTGGGGGGAGATGCGTGTTTTCGAAGCTCTGCAGCCGCCAGCAAACAGAGTAAAGCAGCGGAATGAAAGAAGGTGTTTTTCCTTCAAAGGGAGTAGATGGTCCAGAGGAAAGAAGCTGAGAGGCACAGGAAGGGACAGTGCAAGTATAAAAGCACAACATGGAAAGTTGCAAATACTCTACGTGCTGGTTAGTAACAGAGAAGAAAAAAAGCAGAAGAAATTTCAGAGAGAGGAATTAAAGCAGAACAGCATTTGTAAGAATAAAACATTGCTATATAATAGAATAGTTATACTATAGAATATAGTACAGAGGAAATATTGTAATAGCAATAGACCTGGTTATGCCAGCAGGCCTGGAGACCCCAGGGGACAGGTGAACGGGTGAGGTGGCTCTGTTATTTTTAACATCCCTTCATCTATTAATTTTTGTCTTAGTTTGGTTTTTATATCTTTTAATCTATTTATTGTTTTTAGCCCTATTGTACACAGTCCAGAGTTGCTTGTTTGTAAGATGGGCGGCTATATAAATTGTATAAATAAATAAAATAAATAGGATACGTTGTAGAATAGAGGTAATAGACAGTACTCACACATAGATTTGGATGTTTCACATTTCACTTTTATATCTTTTTCTTTCTTTTTTTCAAAATAAAACATCTCCCCAACACTTGTAGGGAGATATAAAAAAACTACCTGCCCAGCGTCCAATGCTTTTATGTCTCTCTTGAGTCTGGGTCAATCTAATTGGGTACAGTTTAAAAAAAACCTGTGATAATTGGTGGTGGCAGTGGGATTGGGTCAGACTTAAGGGACTCATTAAATACTGTGCTTGAAAAGGAAAAAAAAAAAAAGCTTAGCTGCTAAAGGAAGGGAATTTGGCCCTCTCAGACCTCAGACTTTGCAGGCAGTAGCCAACATTCTGGCTGCAGAAACCAGACCTCTCACTAGAGCCTATATCAAGCAAGCAGGGATGGAAAAGGTAGAAGGGGCTGCTTCTCCTCTGGACACGGAGGAGGGTACTACTTTGGTAGAGACAGGTGTCTAGCCTAAGCCTGTAGTTAAAACAAAGAAGGTAGAACAGCCAGAAGAGGGGCTAGGCCCAGATACATGGACCAACATCATATCAGAAATGTTGAGGCAACAGCAAGAGTCAAGGCTTCGATTAATTGAAAAAAGGAGGAAGTGCAGCTCTGGAGGAAGACAGAGAGGAAGGATAAGTTAGAATGGGAAAAGAGTGAGAGAGAGGCAAGGAAGGAAGAGTTTAGGGGGCTGATAAACCTACTTAGAGGGGTCTAGTGTCCAGGAGGGGCATGTTTACCACTAGAGTTTCCTGAACATATAGAGAGGGGAAATGGTCCCAAAGATATCAAAATTCCTAAATTAACAGAGAAGATATAGAATTTCATTATGTTTGAAAGGATTGCTACCTCTTGTAAATGGCCTGAGAGTGAATGGGTGGTCCAGTTGGCCCCTAGTCTAACAGGAAAAGCTCTACGGGCTTGTAGCAGTCTTCTAGCTAAGGAAGTAATGGATAGTTACCATGTTAAAGAAGTACAGGTATTATGTAACTTCTTATACCTATAGGCAGCAGTTTAGGAGCTCCACATATAACAAACATGAAGGGGTTCATGAATTATGGGCAGGACTGGAAGACCTAGGTAGGAAATGGTTGAGTCCAGATGAAAGGAGCAAAGAAAAAGTGGTAGAGGAAGTCATTTTAGAATAGTTTCTACATGTACTCCCTACCAAAGTGAGATTTTGGGTACAGGAATACCACTGGGAGATACTGGGGGCAGAAGGACATTAGTACATCCTCACTTAGTAAAAAAGGCAATATATATGGGAAAAGAGCCTCTCACAAGTGTGATTGGGCAGACTGAGATGGTTGCATTGGTTAAAGCCAGAATACAGTCAAAGGGAAATGAACAGATAATGGTGGTAGGAGTAATCCCTAAATTACCTTCTAACCTAGTGATTGGAACAGATTTGCCGATTACTGAGGGTTGGATTCAAACAAAAGGCTTCAGAAAGGAGGTTCAGATAGTGGAGTAACCACAGGATCTCAGTCTAAGGCAGAGATGAAGAAGGAGCAGAAGCAGGAGGGGAAGGAACCTGGCCATACCTAACCATACTGATTTAATAGGGGGACATGGGATATCCTAGAAAGGAGAAAGGCTTGCGAAAGGCTGATAAAGCCAGAGGTGAACCCATAGGGATAGGCCCTCCTAAATGGGAAATTGATTTAGGGCCCTTACTAAAGGATCACTGCTTAAAACACTGTTGGTTAGCAGCAGAACAGGAGGGAAACAGGGACACAACACCCACATTCCAAGAAAAATCAGGGCTGCTGTTTTGAATTAGGCTTCATCTATATACCAAGGAACAAAAAGTATTATTTTGCCATTTTGTTGAATTATACAAGTGAATTACTGCATGGACTACCCTGGATAGCACCAAGATAGTTTATTGCTCAAGATGGAGGAGATTTATGATACCTGAGACTGAAAAAAATTCACAATGTCTTTCTACCTCCCCATTAAATAAAAGTGGCTCTCCTTTCATCATAATACCCCAAATTTAGAGGATGTTGCCTCACCCTCTGTAATGGCTCTGTGAGAAATGTGAAGGATATTTGTGGAACAGAAACGCCCAGTTCAACAAATGTAGTACCAAACTGTCCTGTTTATTAAGCTATTCTTTCCCTACCCTTAACCATGTCTGCAACTTAATGTGGCTAACTCTTCTGCCATCCTTTTTAATCTGCTGAATTTTTCAATAAACAGTATTCTGGGGGGAGGCCTGAAAACAAACTTCAAGATTCTAAACTATATTGGAGTTCTTAGTAATGAGAAAAGCAGTATAGAAATAATATCCTAAACCAATTAACTATACACATATTTTAAAGGAAATCTGATATGCCATTGTACAATTAAGTCACATACACGCATGCTGAGATTTTATAGGGATTTACTCACCTGATTGTCCCCAGTGCTACTAATATTCCTTTGTTCATTGTGAAGGAGCTTGTAAATCAGAAAAACAATTGAAAGAACAGTTAAAGTTTACTGAAAATAATCATCAGTGCAAAACATCCAGAAAATTTGTGCTTGATTTGTAAATGGCATTGCAGGAATGTATGCGATATGACATAACAATCTGGGAAAGGATGTAGAGGAAGAGGTTGTCAGCAGTCCATACAAGTTATCTATTTAATTTGTACAAAAGTGATTTGTCACTCGAGTGAATATTTTTTGCACTTTGTCATCTGAGTACTTTAGATATTTATTTCTTCCTCTTTCTGATATAATAATGATTAACAGATTACCAACTTCAAAATGGAGTACCCACCTAATAATGAACAGTAAAGTAAATGAACAGCACAGTTCTGAATAATAAATTACCAAATAATTAATTGCTCCTGAACATGAGCAATGTTCTCTCTGACCAGATATGGCATGATAAAACCATTGCATAATAATTGAGTATGGGGCATTTTCTCCAAGAGCTTGACGTGGCCCATAATAGCATAATGAAAATTCTGGGCCACACTGTCGTTTACACATACAGAGTTGTGTATGTGTAACTCTGGCATGTTGCTGAATTAATTACGTAATTCATCAGGCAGCATACTGGAAGTATATTTTATCTACCTCTATGTACAGCAATGGATGGGGGTAGGGGGTGAGGGAGGAATTAGTTGGCTGGTGTGGGTCTTCCGGGCTGTGTGGCCGTGTTCTGGAAGTTTTGTTTCCTA